TCTCTCATTCTTGATCTAGCACAGAGCCAGCTTCTGCTTTCATGGAAAAAGTCTAAATATTTTTCAGGAGGACTGTATGCACAAGAAGCATTTGTATTAACTTTGTTTCCTTATGAAGTCATGTAAAAAACAATTACACATCACTCTTGTCATTTCTATGTATACTCAGTACTCACTTTTCAACGAAAGTGAAATACAGAATTAGCTTTTATCTTCAAAGTTTCTTTTTGGAAACTACTCTTTGAGCAGTCATGATTACACAAGTTAGAGCCCAGATCACATATGAAATTCATGGGACTAGATGAATATATATTCATTCTGTTGTGTTTTTTTTTTGCAAGAGAAACCAAGCAATGTCAATAGACCTATGAAAAATGGTGGAATGTTTATCATCATTCTGTGATGCTCACCATTGTCCTACAGAGATGCATAAATTGAAACAAAAGGGTTCTCACTGAATATAAGAAAAGCCTTTTCACCATAAGGATAGTCAAGCAGTGGAACATACTTCTATAGGGGCTGTGCAATCTCCATCCTTGCTGATTCTCAAGATCAGATCAAGATGCAAACAGATAAAGCCTTGAGCAACCTGGTCTGAACTCACAGCTGATTCTGCTCTGAGCAGGAGGTTGGACCAGAAGACCTCCTGTGGATCCTACCAAACTGAATTATCTTATGATCCTTCTGAGAAAAGCTTTTCACAGTTTATTTATATATTTTCCATTAGTTTCTAAAGCAAAAAATATATATAGATATATATATACTTGGCAAGAACTGTGTGTTTTAGCATGCTTTACTGCTAACACAATATGTCCTTTTTAACAGAGTAGTGGAAGAATATAGTCTATTAGTGCTCTTTTTACTATGACATATAGTAGTAAGCTCAAGTGATTATTTGTCAAAGCTCTAGAAAAATAGAGCAGCCAAATGCAGCTTTTCTGCAGCTGATCTCTAGTGTCTGTATAATTATTTCCAATCATTCCATGTGAAACATCAAATCTATACATGTATTTATTGGTTTAAGATGCATTAGTTTTAAAAATCATATCAAATAGCTAGTCTGTAGAATTTGTTACCATGATGCTACTAATAGCATATCTGAGAGATAAACCTCTCACCTTCATGGCTTTCATACCCTCAACTATGACAAATTCAACCTTTTCAGTGGCTACATTCAGATTCATTGATTTGCTTAAATAAATATTTCTTGTTGTTGTTGTTGGATCATTTCAGAGATCCACTTAAATGCAAAGCAGCAGAGCAAATATCAGAATCACTTCAGATGGATTCAGGCTTCAGCAGTGGAGTAGAAGTAAGTAACTGGGAGCAGTAAGCTACTAAACTACTCTGTAACCAACCATAAAATAAAATAAAATGAAACTAATTCACACATACCATTAAATTATAATGAATCTGACCTTTTACATTTACTAGAATTAAGGAATAAAAATCTAGAACTTTGTCATTGTAAACAAATGCAGCGATTTAATAATTTTTTCCAGTGTGGGCATATATCCTCTGCAGAAGAACAAATAAAATGTGCTACCTGGAGATACTTCCTCTTTCTGTCGTACAGTATGGTCCTTTGTGAACTTAACCCTCTGGTGAGCTCTGATGCAGGTTTTGCACAGCCATTCTACACATTCCACGCAAAATCCATTAGCTTCTGCGTTGTCTTCACAGCTTGTACAAACCTGGCACGAAAAAGAAAAGGTAAGTATCAAAATCAATATGGAATAGACATGCAAGCTTTGGCTCATGCATTATCGGTGCACTTTTGCCATTTGCTGAAAAAAATTAAATGAGAAGGCAAACTAAAGCATGAGAACGCTACAAATAACTACATGAAAGTAACTGAAAGTGGTCATTTACTCAGTGGTACTCTAAAACTGACATAAAACTTTTAACTGACATGATAAAGGTCAAACACTATTTTTTGTCTGATACTGCACACTTAGAAGCCATATAATGCTTACTACATACAATATACTCTTGTGAAATATTTACTAAAGAAAGAGATCGATGCTACTGCAGTTTTAGAAGCCTTTCTCAGTATCGACAGAAGCTTTAATTCTAGTTTTCCATTCACTTGCCTAGAGTTTCAAGAAATACAAACAGCCTTAAGCAGCAGGGTTCATCTCAGGAATGTTTTGTACCACAACTTAAGAAAGACAGCATTTCACTTAGGCTTACAGGTTCAGACATCTAGAACAGAGATCTTCAGCCAACACACAATAACTTTCTTACTCTGGCCTGTTAACTTCTCGAACCCTTTGGACCATAACAAAAATGTCTAAGAAAAAAAAAGTAATGAGGGAAACAAACCTGATAACAGACCAAAACCTCACTGCACAGAGTCTGCATCTCCACAAGCAAAACTCTATGGACCTCCAATTTGAAAAACAGATTGAAAACCATGAATGATAGACAACACCACTTTACATAGGAATAGCATTATTTCTTTTTTAACTACTTCTGAACATGTTTATGCAGGTACATACTTAGGACTAACATCTGTTTCTGTCAACATCTGGCACTGCTGCAAAACATAAGCCTTAATATGTCTGAAGATCTGTATATCCTGCAGATACCACTGCCAGAAATACGCTAGTAGTAGCAACAAGAAGAAAGCTTTATCTAAAAAGTGCAACTCCCCCATCCTCAAAACATAAATATAGCTGAAGAGGAAGTAAATATTTATATCCTATAGCTAATATATATTTAGAACTGTGTTCCAGTTTCCCCCTTTAAGAAAATGAGGAAAATTAGGGGAAAAGAGGTAAACTGACTTGCCTTAGGCCACATAACAAGTTACTGAGAGAACCGCAATTTGAACAGATTCCCAATGCTGGGCTTGTTCTTCTAGATCATGTTGCCTCTCAAAGCAAATATCTTCTGAGAAAGGAAATTACAACTCAAGGGTTGTAGACCCCCTCTTGCTGTCACTTGTAGTTTGAAGCAGTTCATGTTCATTAAAGGTGACCTGCAAAGAAAAAAAAAATGGGCTTGTGCCCCCTTTTCTGTTTCTTTAGAATATATAAAGGAGGCCTGAAAGTTTTATTAAAAAAAAAGCCTTAAAACTTTAATTTTTCTGAATGATTTTCTTTTTCCCCCCTTCTTATTTTACTAATAAAAACTCCAGTCCCAGATATACTGGACTCAAAGGAGAAATATTGAAGTCAGTGCATCATAAAAAAGTCAATAAAATGGAAGTAAAACAATTAAAGGAAGGGAATTATAATCAAGAAGTTGATTTTTTACATTTTCTTAAGTTTCAATTTCAGTGACATTTTGCAAAAAAAATAAGATGAAGTATTCCTAAGGGTTCAGCATTGCTTCTTAAGAAAACTCATAGAACAGGCCAGTAGCACTACATTACTTCAGTGTAACATCATCTCTGACAGCAAACACCATTAAAGAAATGGTCTCCCATCTCCTTTCCCAGGTCTCTGCTCCTCAATTGCAGTGAGGCCATCCTTTAAAAAACTATGGTGCAAAACCAGATCAATTCCATCCATGTGACCCATGGCTCAGTTACACAAGCACAGCTGCTTAGGCAACGAACTACTGCAGGAGGGCAAAGAACTTTCAAAACCACTTTTGCTGCCACAGAACTACCATCAGACTTTACCCCCAGAAGTACAGAGGCATTTTAGCAAACCAGACAATACGCTTTTCTCGTGAAAAAAAAAACAAAAACAAAAACAACCCTCAAAAGTGAAAACAAAATAAGCAGATACAGGGAGAAGGAGAAGGGGAAGGAAAAGGGGAAGGGGAAGGAAAAAGAAGAGAAGGAAGGGAGGCAGGGAGGAAGGAAGAAATAAAGGAAGGGAGGAAGGGAGGAAGGAAGTTTTTCAGGCATTCTTCGTATACAAAGAAGCAAACAAAAACAAAATCAAAAGGAAAACCCCAATCAAAAAAAAAAAAAAAACACCTTTCCAGGTCACCTTTAGCAAACTTAGGCAGATAATCTTAGTACGTGCCAAGACGTTGAAGTGAATTCAAAGGATTTTAAAAATGAATATTCCTTATCTTCCAATATCTTTGTCTATTTTCTTTTTTGTTCAATTTGCTTTAGATTTTTTTTTATAACTGTTTTGACTTGCGATAGTTGGGATGAGAGTGTTATTCAGGAATCAGTAACCTGCTAGCTGCTGCCAAATTAAATTAAGCGGGACCTCTTTCTTGCAGCCCAAAACATATATTCCAACTTACACTGTTCACAGTCACCAAGTGCCAGAGAGATATTTCTAAACTTATTCATGCAGGCTGAAACTCAGGCCTTGAAAATAGTCATGCCTTTCAGGCATTAGTGTTAGTATTTAGTATTAGGTGTTAATATTTATAACCTCAGAAGTGTTAATTCAGCCTTCATTTAATTTTAACAAGAGTTCAAGTTACTCTGGTAGGTTACGGGTAGGTCAATATTTTTCCTTCTTAAGAAGTTTGTTTATTTACTTAACAGCACAAACTTAGGTGTAAAAGATCAGGTAATGGAGATATCTTTTTGGAAGGGGGGCTTATTACTGCACTAACTACTTTCCAGTATAAGTTGAATAAACAAGCAAAAGCTTCCAGTTTAGAAGGAAGACATTCGGCGAGTTCAGAAGAATATTCATTGAGGAATATTCACTTCCAAATTTCAGCAATGTAGATTATATGTAATAGCCTATCCCTACCAGATGAAAAAAAAATCGATACTACAAGTTATATCATTATCAAATACACTAAGGAAATTCACTAAGGAAAGCAACTCTCTTTTTGGACATTCTCACACATACATAATTCCAAACCTAAATCATGCGCTGACATCTCAAGTGCATCAACCCTAAGCAACATCTGCTCTTTTTCCTGGCTTCTATCAACGGTTACCTCTGAGGCAAACAAAACCATGTGGTAACTACTTCTCAGGTTATTCCCCGCTATCTCCTATCTTTCTCCTCCCCGTTTTCCTTTTGCCAAGTTTTGCCACGGGTGGTAGGTGCAGTTCAGCCGCTTTTCCCCGCAGAAGAGGGTATTTTTGTCAGCGACTGTGCATGCACTGCGCAAGCCAACCATGAGAGAGGCACAGCCCTCTTAGCCTGGAACGGGCGCACTTCGACCGCCTCCGTACACGGGAAGTGGTTACCGAGCACGTCTCTAATCACAAGCAGCACTCGTTGCATAGAAGAGGAACACGCTGACCACATCCCGATCCAGCTGGGTACAAAAATAACCCAGGGCTTTCCAAGTTGGAGCTAGGCTCACCTTGGAAGCAGCAGGTCTGCAGGGCAGAGCTCTCCCCTTGGGTTGGGACGCTGCCTGAGGAGACTCCTCGAGGTTGAGGGACCTCTGCCTTCTCCTCAGGCGAGTGGTTCTCACACATTTGTAGTTAGAGCTAGCTCAGAACCCTGCGGTGTAGCACAAATTCCTGTACTGACATCCAACAGCTGCTTAGAAAACGTTGAATTGCTCTTCATTTCTATGACGACTTTTAAAAATTTCAGCTCAGTAAGTGGTAAAGATACAAGAAGTGTTCTCACACTCAAAATGTTGCTCTCTTTTGGACACAGACATTGGGAGAGTAAGGACCTGGAATAAAATGCATCACAGGTTCAATACGTTGTGGCAACTCTAGTGTTTCACCCACACTCTTCTACCTCCACTCACATTTTTTGGCTTTGCACAACTTTGATTTTTTTAAATCTTAAATTCCTAAATATTCTGGTTTGTCAAACTTCTAATCTTATTCATATTTAGCATTTACTACCATCTCTTGGACTTGAAACGCCCTTCCACTCAATTCTTATAAATATAATTACATTTTATTTTTGTAACATCAAATCATTTTGCCAAATCTCTCAATGAATCATAACGCAATAAAGCTAGAAAAGATCTGTTCTCTCAAAGTATGCATATCCTAATTGTCCGATACCCGTAAGGATTACCTTGAGGAATATCACAGCTGCATTTCAAGCTCATTTAGTTATTTTCTGCTGGAATGTTTCCTATGCCAATAGGCAGCATAAAAATCTTTAATATTCTCTTTACTGCTAGCCAGAAAAGTCCTTGTGGGACATATACGGGGGAGTTTTACATGTTCTTTCTGCTTACTTCTTTTGCTACTGAAGTTTGAGCAGTAATTGCTAGAAAGCACAGCTGTAAGTAGGGTACTGAACTGCCAAAATCCGGCTCAGATAAAACAAACATGATTTTAGATGGAAACACTTCAATCCATTACAGTTATTTTTCTCACCCCACAACCCCAGGCTACATGATATGCCATTTACTCCTGCTGTTTAAATTACATATGCTAAAAACTACTTTAGCATCATTACTGTTTCGAACCTGAAGCAAATAAGATTTGAATTTGAAAGTCGTCTTTTTGTAAAGTCTCTCTTGAACTGAAATGTGCCGGTCCTTCCTGATAAGGCGGCACACATAAGGCACACAAAAATGCACCACTTTTTCTAAGCTACCATAATGCTTGCACAGTACCTCTGCCTTATCTCCAGTTCATATTTCTTTAAACTCATGATAAAGACACCAAGTCATAAGAGGCACATGAAACAGAAAAAAAAAAAAAAAACCAAGGATAAAGCATTTCAATAGAAAATTTATACAGGAAACCCATCCTTGGATAAAATTTTGACAGAAACTGCTTGATCTCTGGTGAAGTATTTTCTGCAGTATCTTTTACACTTTTAATTCTTCCTCTCTTGCTATGGGCAATTCTTCTTTTCTCCCTTCTTCCCTTTCAAGGCAAAACAAGACAGACAGATGAGAGGGACGTGGCATCTTTCTACTCATAATATTCTGTCTTGAATACAACACTGATCAGTTAAACTATCACTGAGTCAACGCTGGCACCTCACAACCAACAGGTTTATGAAGTGGTACAGCTCTTTTTATGGTGCCGATGCCAATCAAAATACAAAGAGATTTCTCAAACTCTCTTTATTAACACACCAACCTAAATCTATTAAAACAGAACCGTAAGGAGTTCCTCTCCAGGGTGTAAGGTATGTGTTCACTTAGTGGGCATCTGCCAAAATTACCATCTCCATGTAAAAAAATAATAATAAAAAATAACTGCAGGAAGCACTCAGCCAAAGGACTTAGCTGAACAACACACAAGCTTTCTGAGGGGTTGGTTTGCTGGTTTCTTTTGTCGGGGAGAGATAGAAACAAAGCATGGAGTGGAAGGGTAACACAAAAGTCAGGGAAGGAAACCTACAGAAAGACACAGCTTCCCTGGCATTTGCTGACACCATTCAGTATAACAACTGATAACTCTAGATCAGCTACTGAAATAGATGAAATCTCTCCAGATTGCTCTCCAGCAGATCAAGATAAACAAGAAGAGCTCTTCCTCAGTTGTGACAAAGTGCCCAGGTTATCCTGACTTCATTGAGTTTTGGTTGATGCCGAATAACTCATTCATACTCTTACATCCCAGAGAGGTACACCCAATTTTACACAGTTAAGACCAACAGCAAAACCTAAAGTATGAATACAAAGAGCCCTTTTTCCACCTCCTATTCCTTATCCAAATCTCAAAGGCCTAAATTCCCTGACTTTTACAGACTGTTGAAAGAATTTCTAGAGGGAAAAGTAACCAAAACCAAGCCAAGTAATTCTACAACCACTCTCCCAAGTACTATCTTAGAAGACTTGTTATGTAACTAAGCTGTATGATATGGCAGTCTCAATATAAAAGAAGTTCATGACCACTTCTGTGCAACAGAGTTATTTGTTATCTTGTTTCTCTTACTAATTAAAATCACTAGAAAAGCGATTATGATCACATTTTCAGTACAACAATAACTACTTATCACCTCAACTTTAATGGGAAGGTACTGGGAAACTTGGTTAAATCTTGCAACCATCTCCACAAATCAGGTATTTTCCTCCACCCAGAAGAAAACACAAACAAAATAATTCCAATCTATTCCACATTAAGAGACTCCTAAACAGATTTCAGTTTTGGTTAAGGTTCATCACTTCTCAGCAGTCCAACTGCCATCTGCCCTAGAAACTAAAGACAGTTAAATGAATTGCTTTGGAGACATAAGTTTAAGTCTTCTCCCTCTGGTTGGGAGAAGATGACAAAATGTATGTCTTTAATAGTCAGAAAGCTAATATGAATATGTCTGAGTATATTTATCCATTCTTGAAAGGCAACTTATGTGTAAGCATAAATTTCAACTAAACTTTGAAATAGAGACTACACAGTATAAGCAGCTCTAAAAACCTTTCCAAAACAAATCAGATCAAAATCAATCATACACTCCAAACGAACAAAAGAGACATTCAAAAAATAAAAGTTCTCAAAGACAACTATCCAAGTACTAGGGAATTTCTGTAAAATTAATGCAACCCTGATGAAGCAATCTTTTGGGACGTATTATGAAGAAAGCAAACATACAAAGAGGCTTACTCAGATGCATTAAGTTCCTGGATTTTAATTAAAACATTACAAGTGAAGAGATGCTTGTTTTCCTTTTATTAGCGCAAAATGGCAGGCAGTATTTTCACCACAGATATTGCTAAACTGTGGTCCTACACAGACACAATTATTCATTTGATACTGCTCCTACACTCTGGAGCACTCTGCTCCTGAAAACCATCAGAAAAATTAAAAAAAAAAAAAAGGAAAAGATATTACTATTTTTCCAGACAGGCAGCTTTTGTTGTTATGAGATCACTGTTACTTGACTACAAAAGAAAGAAGTGGCAATCTACAAAATACACAATATACTACCTTCTTCAATGGAAATTTGAGCCTTTTGTCTGATAACTGTACTCCAGCTAAATACTGGAATTTAAAAATAAAAATAAAATTGATTTAACTAGAGGTTTCCATTTTACATTGAGAGCACTTGCATGGCATTACTCTGGCCACTACTGCAGAGTGCTGAAAGTGTTTGTCCAGTCCCAAATCTAGCAATTTGTATTGACATCACTGTCACCCTCAAAACTAGCAGCAGTTTAGACTTTCCTACCCTTCTTCCTCACAAGCATTTTAATTGATTTTAATTAATTGCCTAGAATCATTATTCCATATGATGACTGGATAATTGAAGGCTTTTTCTGTATATGAACAGTAAAAGACATGAAACAAGAAGTCAAAGACATGTATACACATCCAAAAGATGTTAATTTGATTACATGTTAATGCACTTACCTGATTTGATTTTTCTACTGTGCTACTGGGAACCTCTGTGGTATCCTTCACAAAAAAGTTATCTATGATGTGTCTCTCTGCACATTCCTGTCCACAAATAGGACAGCGGATAACACCAACTGGAGGGGGAAAAAGATTAAACTGATTATGTTTGAGCACCTTAAAATATTCACCAAACAACTTCAAAGACAGTTTGTAAGGATAAATATTCTGAAAGAAAATATTACTATTTTCCTGTCAATAACATCCAACTGAAGCAAAGCTAAATCTCATGTATCATCAAAATAACCTTTTGCTTATTATTTCCTCATCATATATTCTTTTAACCAAGACCTAGCATCTATTTGCTTTAGTCCTACGTACATTTGGACTTATTCTTATCTTACAGATAAGAATATCTATATATAATCCTTTCTAACTCTTTTTTTTTTTTTCTAAAGAGAATGTCTTCCCATTGGCAATCTGTTGTCATCGAATGGATTAAAGTAAGCATTAATAAATACGGAGTATTAACTAGTGACATCCAGCAGTATTACACACAGAAACGTGTATGTGTGTGCGCACGCACACACACACACACACCAGCAATGCAACACGACTGACTTTAGACAATAAATTTAACTGGTACTCTAAATGACCTAGTCAACAAGGCAAGTTTTATAACAGAGGAATAGGAGAGAGAGGATTATCATAGTGTCTACCTTCATAAAAAGCAAGAGAAAGCAAGCGATAGAGAAATAAATAAGCAAAGCCTTTTACCTCCAATCCCTAGCAAGACCTCATGGGGAGCAATTAAAACGAGGGTACTAACCACAGCTTGGACTCCAGATTGAAGAAAGGAGTGTATCGTCAGGCCCACAACCAGAAATTCAAAGGTTAAAATTAAGATTTCAGAGAGGAAACAACAAGATTAAGTGTCAAAACACGGGTCTCGGTGGTGAAGAGACCAGACTGACATGGAAGGGATCTGCAGAAACACTTCAAAATAGATACCTTTCCTGGATTCAGACTGTGTGTCTTATGAGCACTAGAGCTGGCTTGTTGTCTAAGAAAATCTCTAAAATGTTGGCATTAATGTCTTGCTTAGAAGAAAATATATATATAATGTGTATATATATATATATATGTCCTCTCGCTAGTGTCATTGTTACCAGAAACAAAAAATATTAAGTTTGGCTGAAATAATCACTTAGTCCCAGGGAGTCATCATTTGAGGCCTAATGTAGTGATGTCAGTGCACAGCAAAACAGAAACTCAGGAAACAGAAAACCAAACTGAGAGCGGCTTTTGTTCTGTAATGGTAAGCAATCTGAAGGAGATGTGTAGCACTGTTTCAACCCGGTAACCATAACACCAGAACATAAATTAGTGTTTCATTTTACTAAGTTTACATGACTTTAATTTTGTTCCCATTTCACTTTTGGCGTGAAACATGTAAACAGAGAAACTATTAAATATTTCATTTCTGCAAGTGAACTGAACTCTTTATTGTTAGTGCTTAACATGAGTTACGTAAAATTTTCATATTGTTCTTTCTATCAATGTTAGAGATGTTTCTAGTCAATCCACTATAAGATAATCTTTTATTAAAAAGTTCTTTTTTTTTTCCTCTCTAAATTAGGTTTCCTTGCTTGAGATTTAGCCAAAAACTTCCACTTTTATACAAGACATTTCACTTTCATCTGTAAGGTTATAATAATGCGAAGACTGTTTTTATTATAATTTTCATTCTGCCAATTTGTGTTTCAGTGCATATCTATGGAGCTTCCTTTTATATATATATTCAATATTTTGTCTAAAATAATCTCCATTTTTATTTACTGTTCCTATCAACACAAAGTATAATTAAGAAATCCAATTCCAGTAGGTCAGGTATCTAAGAACTCCAAGTACTGAATTTCTCCATTTATTAAGCAAATCACTTTACCACGGGAGTGAATAAATTCTATAATATTCAAGCTACTCCAGACTGTATTTTTCCCACATTTTTCAGCAGTACTTATTTGAAACGACCCTTTTCCCCTCTTGCTCATTCCTGACCCCAGCTCTGCTTTGCAAGTGACTGTGTTAGTCTCTGCCCGTGTTTGGAAGTGGGGTGGAGACAGGGAATCAGACTGGCTAACTGATCCAGGCAAGGATATATTTCTCCTGCTCTTCCAAGCTTCCTCTTCAGCACCCTCGTCTGCTTCACTGGCCAAGTGCACAACTGCTTACGCTGAGGTAATACGAGAGGAGCATGAGGCCAGTGTCACTGAGGGTTAAATATGGAACCACTGTCTTTGAAACAGATGAATGGCACAAAGTTGAATTCATATCCCAGATCCTGAGCAAAGATTTAGCCAAGAAATGTGTTTTAGGGGTCCTTATCTGGTACTCCTGTTGTATCTAAGCCTCTTTCAGTAATGCACTGAACAGTATAACCCTGTGTTGGTCATTTCCTCTCACTCCCTAAATGGGAAACAGTTGATGAAAGTAGAGTGTTTCACACTATTTTTCTCAGATGTGTGTTGCACTTGAAACAAAAAGGTCATGGCAAACTTGATGAATTCCTGCAAGTTCACTTCATAATTTGAATCTACCTCTTCTACAGACAGTCTTACACGAATAAGCAGTGCAACACCAGTGGTATTTCTAGCCGCACCATCTGTGGACAAGTGACACATTGGAGCGCACCACTTACTTAATCATTACACATGCCAGGGGTATGCAAGGAGGAGGCAGGAATTACCCAGAATCCATATGACTAAGACAACACCAAGTTACTGGGAAGGAAAAACGATGATTTTATTCAGAATTCAGAGCTTCCTGTGGGAAACCAGAGGCAGAAGAGGAAAGACAACGACTGCTCTGGAATTAAATAGAAACGTGGGAGAAACACACAAACAATGCACACTGATTATTTTCCAGTAAGGGCAAACTCTAATTTAGCAGAACTCATGGACAAACATATCTGTTCAATTTTAATACTTCTACTGGCATTATGAGGGTTACCTGAGGTAATTAAGGACTTCGTTTTACTCAGAAATAGCCATTTTGAAAAAAAATTCTACCTTGAAATATTAGTTACGCAACACAGTTTTTAACTTAAAATGGTAAAACTACACAGGCAAAGCAAAGCTGTTTTCAGCCATACATATATATATATATTACAGTTGCCAAACTTTCACAGATCTGACTGGAATTAAGTCAATATGTCAATTCATATTATTTATTCTGCTTAGAGCCCAAAAAGCATCACCACAACCCTAACAGCACATATCAGAGGAGGCCAAGCTGCAGTTCATTATAAGTCAGAAATAACCCAAATGGGAGCAAGAAAATCAATGGAAAAAAAAAATCAGTATCTAATTCTGAAGATGACACAATAATATTTTTTTTTCATGTGCAGAATCCTCTCTTAGAATAGTATTTGGTCCAGTAGCATGGGTATTACAGAACTATTTTTTTTAAGCCAAATACTTCTCACACTAGGATTATGAATAATACAATAAATAAACTAGGATTGTGATTTAGCTGATAAAAAGAACAGAGCAAAAGATACCGATTCGCATGCAACTCAAAAGAATTTATACGGAGAATATAGCACTCTGTAGTGCTCCAGCCTTATAAAGATCTAGGAGATACATAACTTCATGCCAAACACAACTCCTCTACCACTTCAGAACATTACTATAGAAATCGCAGTCTTCATTGTTTTCCCAGGAAAATGGATGTGGAGGAGAACTGAGATAGTGCCACCACCCTCAAACTAGTCTAGATGATGCCGTATATTAGGGTAGAATAAAGAGAAAAAACATTTGTTACAGGTATTAGGAAAATCCAAACAGATGCTTGCTGAAACTTAACTGTTCCATATCATCAATAAAAAATGCAAAGAGTTAGAATGAATGCCATTCATAATGGCATTCATAATGACGCGAAAGTTTAAATAAGTTCCTACTATCTCCAAGTATACTATTTATAATATATATTGTGTGCTTTGTTTGATGAGTGAATCAAACCACACTTCGAGAATTATTTTGTTTCATCCAGCTTTCCTGCATAAAAAGTCTCAACTCAGACCATGGACAGATATCCTCTTCTAGATCCTGTTGTTGTAGCAACAAAACAGTACAGTGGGCACTATAAATATTACTTTTCTCCTCCACTAGATCATAGGAGGGTTTTTTGTTTGTTTTACTGAAAGAAACCAGCCGGGCTGATCTGAACAGTAATAACTGATAATGAGTGTTAAGCCGGATGAATCTGAGGCAAACACAGCAGTGCACATGCAAAGCCAGGTACGGTAGCAAGCAGCCAACTCAGTAACTTTTCTGAACAACAAAAAGGACAGTTATCTTTTCTGAAGATTCTCCTGCTTGCAATTCAGCAAAGATGTACAATTAATTACATGCAGAAGAAGGAATGCAATAGAGAGGTAAGTTTTATATAATACAGCCTCAGCTTCTTATTACATTCCATGGGTGTGCCTGTTTTTAATGTTCATTTTCCCCATAAACATTTAGTTACCCTTTAAACTGCTTCTTATGCATTCACAGAATATAATTCCTAAATTAATCTCTGAAATAATTAACACTTCCTCCACTAAGACTCTCTACAAGACTTTTGCAGTGCTATGATGAATTAAACTAATTTTTTTAATTTTACTGTTAAGATTTGGAAGCAAGTGTGCAATAGCTTTTTCTAATCATGCCTTAATTATATTGCCAATACTTCCCTTCAGCTTCAAGACACTTCCTTTCTGAACTGTGCCACAATTTACTTCAGTGCTTTCATGGCTAAGAACTGCAGGTACTGTACTGTGGTCTGCTCAAGAATATTCAAATTCTTAATAGCAAGTTATTAAAAGCCATTTAGTTGATTTTTCTTATATAAACTGGTAAGGAAAGTAAACCATCCCCTATTGAAACTACTAGAGAAGCATATTGTGCTATCAACACAGTACCAACAAACACTATGTTACTACTTTAAAGGAAGAATAATCCCCAAACTATTTTGGTGCTTATTCCTCATAAGAATATGCACTGATTTCCATAGAAGGAATTAGGGAAGAAAAATAAGACAAAAATTTGCAGCACAAAACATGATTAATATACATACTGTACAGTATTTTGTAAACTTTCACTAACCCCAAAATTGCAATTGGTAGTTGCATATTA